TGTGTGTGTGTGTGTGTGTGTGTGTGTGTGTGTCTGTGTGTGCACCAGACTCTTCTACAGAACATGTTACCATTGTGATGCTCATCTGCCCTGACTGTCGTAGGGGCACATGAGATGCTATGAGCTCCACACGGACACTACTGGTCTTCTTGTTATTTTGGTTTGTTGGCTATACATTTCAGTTTTACACCTGAATATGTATATTTGTTACTGTTGTGTTATACCAATAAAGTTTGATTACAAAAAAGTTTTGAAGCTCAATTCTGGCCATATTGCCGCAATATTGCTAGTGCTTCACTTCACCACCAAGTGGTGGCGTGTGAATGAAGCTCACTAGCCACCTAGCAGCCAGCCACCTATGGCGATACCCTCCCGCCTGTGATTCAAATGGGAAATGCCCTTAATTAGGTGTAACTTTTAGTCTTAATATAACTTAAACGGGCAAGATGTATAAAAATGTGTGTGCTTGGAAAATCCAGGGCAAAACACTTGATCCACTGAAGAGTAAAAGCTGAAATGCTTGTTGTGGCCAGCAATACTTTTGGGGGCGTAGACTGGCCCTTTACCCAAGCAGCACGTACAACTCCGGCCCAGGGACTTTTCCATCTCCTAACCACAGTGGTTTATACATCACAACTTTTACAAATTACTTTAGCTCTAAAAGACGGTTGTTTAACTGGTAAAGTGCAATACAGTGTCAACAAACTCAACAGCCACAAGCAAAATGTATGAGAATTTGGGTGGTAAATGGATGGTAAGCTGAGATAATTCCACACTTACAGGATTATGAGGACACAAAGTTTGAGAAAAATATAGGCTCAACTTAATCACTATTTAGGCATGGAAAATTTTAGGTTTGTTAGGTTTTGTAGACATATAACACCCATTTATTTTTAGCAACTGCATCTGCTCATCTGTGTTATACTGTATGTGTATTTAAATTTTAGGCAGTGTTTTTTGTATGTCAGTGACAATAACATACTGGTCAGGGTGAAGTAAGACGGCTTTATGATCCGTTTAACTTATTACATTTACATCTAATTTTTTTCCAGTCTTGACTGTCAATGGAGCAATCCTTGAAATTTAAAGTTTAGTGGCACAGCGGGGTAACAGACATGCTAATCTTAAAATGTCATGAATGCAAGTCTGGCTTACAGCCAGTCTCATATACTCTCATATCCCTCTTGCATGTCACCGCAAACTGTTTACTGTATCATTAAGCACAAATGTCACAAAACAATCTAAAAAGAACAAGAAATAAAGCTAAACTCAGTCTCAACTGTTTCCTGCAAACACAGCTGCAGAGGTCGGATGCCTTGTAAAAGTGCTGACAGTACTGAAATGTGAAACTTTAAAAGGAGACCCATCTAAATCAGCTGGGCTAGCTGCTAGGCTTATAGATTTCCTATAAGTACTCTAACTGGCAAGATAAAAACTCAACTAATTTCTCACAGCTAGGATTCATTTTATGAGAGACTGATTATGCAGTGGGCCAGCGGAGCATACTGCCAAATCTATTTTGAAACTTACTTTTCTGTTTTTTTTTCCAGCATCTAGTCTTGGTGAGAACTGTGCCATGCAGCATTGTGAGATTCAGTAACAGGGCTGGCAGCTGCCTTATCAGAAAACATTAAGAATTCATCAGTGGCCAAGAGAGGAAAACCATGTGCTCAGTGATACACGAGTACTTTTCACTATGAAAACTCAAAGTCCAAGACACCAGTGTGGCGTTGACATAAAAGGGCTAACAGATCAATTGAGCATACAACAAGGAATTTATTTGCACAAATGATTCAACCCCTCAGTGACAGGTTTGACTGTTCTTAAAGCAAATGTCTTACAATACTGCAATAATGAAATGGAGATTATTTTTTGTAATGAAGTTTTAAAAAAGCACTTTGGTTGTTCTCTTGTGTACTTCCTCCTCTTGCTTTCTTCCTCTTGTGCTTGTTCTCAAAAGGTCTTACCTAAACAGAATGTTTCTTCCCTTCATACACTAACAGTTCATTGATCTAATGTGGCGTGTGCAAAGAGATGTTGGATGCCATGTACAATTACTTTTATTTATTTACTGTCCCTTTTTAGACATGGGATAGGCTTCATCAACCTATTAAAGTGCTGACTTCTGCCAGTCAGACATACAAGTTGGTCCCTTTTACACTAATGTTCCTCATGGCTTTAGTCAGATATACCCAGAACCGTGGCAGGGACAGCCAAGGTACATGCATGATATTTGCCAGGCCAGAGGTTTTTTTTTTAATACAACAATGGCAGATGAGTGCGATTGTGTTCCATGAAAAAATATTTTCTCATATTATTGCTGTTCAGGAAATTCTCCTAAACAATCATGTTCTTTAGATGATGCACAAAATAAATGCACAGACACCTAGACCACAGTGATTGGTAGGCCCACTATATCCAACAACATCCTACATCAGTACATTGTAACCTTGTGTATGTGTATCAGTTAATGCAAATGTAAGTTCAGATTTGTGTTGGGTTGAAAGTGATATGTAAATGCAGGACCAACCTACTAAGTGACCAGGGTGCTCGTGACAGGTTCAAATGCTGTCAGATTAATGGAAAGGAGTGCATGTCTGAAAGGGGCTGTAAAGAGTACTAAAAATGAAATCTATTTGTAAATTGTTGTACCTGTAAGACATAGTCGAGGACGATGTGTCGAAAGCACTTGCGTGTGGCAGTGAGGATGTTGGTGGCCTCCTCCACCTCATGCTGCTTGTTGCGGGATGCCTGGGCATTCTTGATCAGCGCTGCCTCCTTCTCCTCACTCACCTTATCAAATTGTTTCTTGGCATCTTTGAACTTACGTAGGTCACTGTCAAAGGGGAAAAAAGAAAACGATTATTAGTATTATACAACAATTAGTGAATCTTAGAAAAACAAAAAACTAATTGTAAGATAATTATTCAGTTGGACTTAATAAAGATTATAAATGAAGCTTGCTCAGTAACAGTCTATTTCAATAACGTCTGTTTCAGTACCTGAGTTTGGTGGAAACCCCCAGTGTTGTCAAAAGTACATAAAGTGATACAGTGGAATTTTTAAATATTCGAGGGATAAGCTTTCATTGGTTTTCACAAACTCACACTTGACAGTTCTGACAGACCACAGTTCCAGAAACAACACAGTCCCCCACCCCAACACACACAGTCATGCAAAGGTGAGATGCTAAAGGAACCTAAATTTATCACTGGACTTGAAGCAGCACAGCCATGTTCAGGCAACATGGTCAAAGGTCGGATAAGATTAAAATAAATCCTATTATTTACCGAGACTACTTGACCCAGCTCTTGTGAATGCAAGACAGTGAGTGGGCACTATTGCAAATCTGGTCAAGGAAGACAAAGCAAGAGTCCTCAAGCTATGTGTTCCATGTTAGTTTTTGTTGTGTTTTGCCTAAGTGAGATCAAGTCTCATTTCAGTGATGCAAGGTAGTGAGTAATTGTGAAGAAACATGTTTCCCAGCTTTCTCCGAGAAGCATGAGCACTGGTGATGTGGGTGTTTAGCCCTGGTGTGTGCCAAAGGCATAAACAACTAATCCTTATAATGAAATAAACCAGAAGCCTCCACTGCTTCCTGTACTTACACAAGAAGGGGGATTCTGTGCTGCATTAGGAGGTGAAACGAGGTCTACAGTAAATATTTTATATGGTAATATAATTGTGTCCTCACATGCCCCGTCCTCTGCACATCAGATATGAAAAATTCCTCAAGCTTTTCCCACAGTTATTGCATATGGATCTTGCATATTCAACTGAACTTCAGAGTGATCTGAAGCTGATGTACAAGCATGAGCTAAATCTCAAAAATGTTAATGTGCTGCGGCTTCTTCTCATAAAGATAAAATCTAAACCGCAGGCTTTTCTTCAAAAGCTTTGAGTGCTTAGCTTCATCAATCTTATTCAGTTAATACTTACTCTTTGACAAATGTCTGAAGCTGGTTCTTGATCGATCTCTGGGCCTGATCAAATAATATCTGTGAAGAAAGAAAGAAGTGTGTAACTGTTCCTGTCTGGTTGGAAAAAAAGCTTCTCTGCAGTTAGTTAAATAATTCAAGCATTAAACATCTTTAGGCATCAATATAAAAAAAGTAGCAAAAAGCTGTGTATGTACAGTATGTATTCACTTTCTAGCCCACATGATGTTGTGCAAGTCATAATTCAGACACTGGTGTAGAAGGACTTTTGCCAACATCACAAGGTGCTGACTTTATCTCCCCTCATAAAAACATAAACACAAGAAAATGGCGTGATTTGTTTATTCTTGTTTGAGAGTACCTTCAGGGGTCTTTAAAAATGAGCTATCAAGCACAAGGCCTGACAAACACTTCTCTCTAAACAGGGCTTCAGTCAAGGCCTGACAAGACAATATGTGCAGTGTAGCTAACATAAGCTACCAGTGACAAACAGACTGAGCACTGTGTTTGAGTGGATCATGTGCTGAAAGATCACAGTGACAAAAACCTATCCAGCAGTCAGCTGATGTGACCACAGTCTCCACTGCTGAGTCACAGTCGCAGGCCTGCGCTGTGGCTCCTGGAAGCTTTTAGTGAAACTAGTCAGGGAAGCTAATAAAAGGATTTGGTAAGGAAAACATCTGCCATGAGTCGTCATGGACGACTGTTTATTCCTACAGATAAACACAGTGACACATCGGCGGAAGGGAACAGATTTAATGAGACATACTCCTCTTTCAGTACCATGGACTTTACAATCTGGGGGAAGAAACTTTGCTTTTTTTTAAACAACAAGAAATCCCAAAGACATGTTGACATTTAAGTCATGGTTAAAGAAAAAAAATGTTTTTCTTGCATCTAACCAGAAGTGTTTTCTTTTAACCGCTTTTTTCTTCCGCACACTCATGCATGTTATTCGGTTTCACATAGTCACACAGTGACAGCATACCGTGTGATAGTTGATCATCTCCTGCAGGCTCTCTGCAAACTTTGTGAGACTGGACTATGGAGAGAAAAGGATAGTCATGAAGTGGGCAGCGGGAGAGCGTCATGTATTTTATGAAATTCAAGTGTTTACAGCATGCGACAGCACAGACATGCCTGCACAGGAGCAAACTCTTTTGTCAGCCAAGTGAGGCAACAAGGCAACCACAATCTTTTTAGACATTATAACAGTTTGGAAAATAATTCTTTTGGCTATATTGCTCTCTTCAAACCAATAAAGTGGCTGAACTTCAAGCCCAAGGGAGAGTGTATGAAATGCACAAAGGCAGAGCTTTCCCTGCCTTTGTGCATTTTAGCCCTTCGGCTTGCCTTGCCAGGCAAAATTCATGCAAGCAAAACAAAACAAAAGCATCTCCTCAAGAGCCAGTGGATAGTTCAGGATTTTACACATTTTTTATTAGATTTTAGAATCTGGAAAGGTCATCAAGGATAAAAACATATTTAAGAGAGAAAGCAAGGTCGTGCATGCAAACAGAGAGGAGTTTTTTTTTGTTTACCTCAATGACATCATCTTTGGTGGACTGCTGGGCTAACTCCCGAATCCCATTAACAAACTGCTTATTGGCTGCATTGTAAGCTTTTCCAGCATCAATCATCCCAATACACAACTTCACCAACTAAAGAGGAAAAAAGAGAAAGGGGCAAATGTTTAAGGGGATAGAAGTAGACCAAAAAAAATGCAGAAACAGAGAGATGATAACACTTGAGTGAAGAGACTAGAAACGGTGCTGTGCATTTTGTCTTATTAAAACACTTGAAGTTTGCATCTAAAAAGAGATTCAGGAAGTGTGGACTTTTTGAAACTTGGTTCTGCTGAGCATAAGACCAAAAAAAAGATGCTTAGTCAGTTCCTTGGTAATTAACAACATGTACTTCTTTCCTTTCTGACTCACTGGGGGCAAAGATAATTCCAGGTTGGGTAAACTCACAACGAACACCGGCCATTCTCCCTCCACTCCCACACAGGAGATGACGCAGAGCCTCAATGTGCCTCTGCAGCCAAAGCAGCTACACAACTCAAATGAAATGAACATTTTAAGGAATTCCATAACTAATTTAAGTGATCAATAATCAATTATTGAACTCATAAACTGATAAAATACAAAATGCTTAATTCTTCTTCAGGAAAGCTTCATATAAACAATTGACATTTTAGGCAAAAGCTATGAATCAGGAAATAAAGCCCTATATATAATACTGCTACTCAGAATGTGATTTCAAAAGCAGCATATTGATTTCATATTTGAAACATATAACTGTAGCAGTAGCAAATGTTCAGAAGGTAAGGCGTTTTGTTTTTGATGCCAGCATGCAGCAGGTCTTACAAGACATGCTGGATGACAACCCTTTACCTGAACACCCTTACATATTTTAAAACCCATACACACATTCTCTGTATTTCTGCTGTGATCCATTTGCATAAAATATTTTCATTTTTGCTCCTGTCACATGTCAACATTCTGTTGCTGGTGCACAGTGTTTATTTTCTTCTTATGGCTACAGTATGAGGAAACACGTTTGAGGTTGAGACCACACAAGTCAGGAGTTCAAACTTAGTGAAGTTACTAATGTCAAGGACTCCTCTGATCATTTCATTTTTGTATCTTTCACGCAGATCTGTGCAGCTTTAATTATTTTCTTTTATTTGTGTAAATTTCAAAATAAAAGGAATCGTTAACCGGGTGAGGGATTCTTTCACTTCAAAGAAGTTGAATCACAGTTTAATCAAATCTAATGTCAATGTAACCAGTAAGAACATCCAAAGCCTCAGCAATACAGGAACACACAGAGGTACTGTTCACATGCCTTTTAGGGAGACAATGTGTTTTTAACAGCAGAATTATCAATGACACACAAATAAACGTGTTTACTTTTGATTAAACACAGCTGTGCGTGTGCATATGGGTCAAAAAAAAAAAAAACACACTACCATAGCCAAACTCATGCACACAATCACACCCACTCTCCATCAGACCCTTCCTCTCTGGAGCAAAAGGGGAAGTGCGGCCAGGGCTGAGTCACAGAGGTGGTGTGAGGAGGAGGAGGAGGGTGGGACTCTGCGGGACTGCAAGCCCAGGAACAATGAACTGGGATCTTCCCAGCTTTGAGTCTTGTCCTCAGCTAGTGTACATACTATCAGCAGTGAGGGGATCCACTGTCAGGACGGACTGGTTTTCTGTAGAGCACTACTCCAGATTAACAATAGACTGCTCGGTTGGTTTAATAGCCTGAATTTGTTCATTTGAGCAGTGTGTGTGAGATGGACTGTGATGCAGCTCACTGCGAGAGGGAATGTAATCTAAACCAGCTACAGGAAATAACCCCAGCAGGCAAAAATGTTTTGGCATTGAAAACTGGGGTGAGAGTTAACAGTGAAGCAAAAAAAAACAAAAAACAAATAAAATAAAAGCCATACACACTCAGCAAATCACATTGAAAATGATACACTATGACAAAGACAACAAAAAGACCATCTTTAAATAATTTTAAGATACAAGGAATAGAATCTAGAAATGCACCGATCAATCAGCTGGAGACTGGAACTGGATGGGTTTTATCTTAAGTCGGCCATGACCGTTGACTGGCCAGTCAGTCCGAGATATCCGATTTTGTGCCAGTCATTTTTACATGCAGGATGGTCCACATCGCGCACAAGGTGGCACAGACTGAAAGCGTAGCATGTACAGTGCACAGGATTTCATATGCACCTCAATGTGAGCCTTGCGTTCGTGTCTGTACTGGGCGTGTTGGGAGAGCTTGCTGCACAAAAACACACAGAGGGGCAATCGGTGTTCGGACACCAACTGCAACCTAAATCTGTACCCTTGATTTTCCATCATAGTTTGGACCAAAACCAGAAACCATATAGAATATTACAGCATCCAAGAGGTTTCCATTTCCTAGTCGTGGTCAGAATGGATTCCAACAGTCACTATTTTTAGGATTTCTATCTGCAAAATGTGACTGTTGGAACAAAAAGATGATTACACACTTCTTGGCAAAAGGCTCAAGAGAGTGAACTGAACAGACACAGGCAAATCAGCTTTTGGCTAGAGGTTTAATTTACCACTGTGCTGGCTATAGATAGATCTGTTATCTGCTCCGACATCTTCAACAGTGGAGAAAGTCAGAACGTCATCAGGATGTCACCTAAACTGTCCAATTACAGTAGATGCTACAGCATAATAGGTGCTTCTTCCTACATGTCTAAAACACATACACACCCACATACTTAATCAGGGTACAAGCCAAGTGCACAGTGTGTATAATCTAAGACAGTCTGTCAGAGGACAGACTAGGGAGAAGGCACAAGCCTGAAACTTTCCATTTACAGGATGGACCCTGTAGCTATCAGTTCACACAGTAGAAAAAAAAAGAACAATTAAGCAATGTTTTTCATGGGCGGTACTCACTTTGTCCAGCTTGGATTCCAACTCACACACATCCCCCTCCACTTCCTCTATGGTGGCTCTGAGGGGGACAGAAGAGAAAGCTTTTGAAATCAAGTGCAACATGACTCAATACCAACAGGCATTGTTACACAATGAAACAGAGATTTAAAAAAAAAAAAAAAACACCTTACTAGAGAGGCCTCATGTAATAAAGATTTAATATCTGTCCTGAACCCACTTTACATTGATTAGTCATTTAATAATGTTTAATAGTTAAACAAAAAGGTCAGTCTGTTCTATATTATAGTTTCCTAGCTAAGGCTTATGTGTCTGTCTGTAGAGATCCATGACGATAATACTTTAACCTTAAAAAGAAGAGACGTTATAAAGAGCACACACAAACAAGCACAATCACTGATTGATACTCACCCAATGTCAATATCTTGAGAATTTTTAAATATAGGGTACTGCAAGTTACATGTAACAATTCAGATTTGCCACTATGCCCATTTTCTACAATTACAGCAGCTGAAAACACTGGCAGAGTACTGACACAAGCACATGTGGACATAGACACACCATTAAGGCAGCCAAAGTGAGGGCTGCCATTTTGGGTAAATCAGGCTGGAATCAGGTCTGGCACTGTGCCCTCTAAAACATGACAAACCACAGCTTGGTCCTCCTCAGGATCAACAGCCTATGAGCTTCACAGTGCCATGACAAATAAGAAGACACTTAAAGATCTTATCCCAGCACAGGTTTTGTCAGTACGCCCAATTCACCTTTGATAATAATCTATACAGTCTAGCATGTTACTGTGGCCTTACATCAGTGCAGGAAAGGTACGTAACACTGCTTGTAAGTGAGTACTGTGAGTGTGGCAGTGTGTGTGCCACATGTCAGTATAAAAGTATAGGGATTAGGAGTGACAGCGCACAGCAGTAGGAGCAGATAGCGTCTCCCAAACCCCCTCTAGCTGTTTGTTCTTCTGTATGGGAACACACAGATGCCAACATCTGCTCACTGACAGAGCCACTGCAGCTGAGTGCTTTCAATAAGAGATGTCCAGGTTCTTATATACTTTTACTCTATGTAAAGAACTTATATGTGCTGAATACTGAATCTCAGGTGTTATAATGACACCTCTATGTTTTTTTAATGATATCAAGCCCTAATGTTGTTTATGAACATTTTTTAAACATGCACTGTTTACTTCTGAACATCAGTAATATTTGAATTCACTGTCACTTAAAACATAAAACACACTGACTACCTTGATAAATGGAGTTTGAGTTTTCCTTCATAAATCACTCCACCTACTGCAAATACACCAAGGTAAATTTGTACATTTATTAACACATTACTTTGAGCTCGAGTGTTTTTTTTTTAAATGATGACTTAATGCTTGTTGTCTGCAGGTTTATATCAACATTACTCATAAATGTCTCCTTTATACAGTAAGCTTTTACAATTGTGCTTCATTAGCAAGAAACAGTGCAGACCTAAATGCAACCTTTAGTCCTCTAGACCACGTTCACACTGCAGGGTGAAGTGACTCAAATCCGATCTTTTTGCCCAAATGCAACCCATATCCGATTTCCTTATGACAGTGTGAACAGCCCAAATCCGATTTTTTCAAATCCGACCCAGGCCACTTTCATATGTGGTCCTAAATCGGATACGTATCCGATGTTTTGCAATGCGACTTCAGTCTGAACGGCCAGGTCGCATTTCATGCAGTTTTTATGTCATTGAAATGCGACAGAAGTCACAATTCTGCGCTGGAGGAGGCAAGAGGTAATAAAAAAGTGGCAGACAACGGTGATTCAGGTGGTGATAACGTTTCCCTTCTCACTCGGAAATTATTAATGAATTCTGTGTCCGTGAAGCCCCTCACGGAATCCCACCAGTCCTGGCTCCGACTCC